TCTTAGTTCAAGTAGATACATGAGACTAAATGGGCAGCTCCTGTCCAGAGGCGAGATGAGTAGGCAGAAAGGGACAGGAGCTGGTTGAATGGACACAGGAAATCTGGGGTGGAAAGGAGGAATCTGCTGTCAGTTTACAGGGATAGCAACTAGGGTCACATAACAATGTGTGTATAAATTTTTATATGAGAAACTAACTTGAGCTGTAAACTTTCACTTAATGTACAACAAAAAAGAAATGTGTCAGCCATACTCTTCTGAAAAGTTCTTAACATTTGGAAATTATCCTAAGTTAAGCCATCAAGTATTTTGCAGATTATAATATTTTTCCATAATTAGTGTGCCTTGTGACTTAAGGAAGATCTCTGGGTAGCACAAACAGTTAAGCACTCAACTTAACTGGTTTGAAGCCATCCAGTGGCACCTTGAAAGAAAGGCCTGGTGATCTGTTTCCATAAACATTACAGCCAAGAAAATCCTATGGAGCTCAGTTCCCTGTAACACACGGGGTCGCCATGAATCACAGTCAGCTAGACGGCAACAGGTTTTTTTTTAATGACTTAAAACTAACATATCTCAAGAAAAAGCATTGTCATTGGGGGCTTAGCAAGGGCAACCAAGGAGCTTCAGTTTGTGGGGGGCCCTCATTCCTTCTTGCAGGCAACCTTAATAAACTCTAATATTTGTTTCTGGGCCTTATTTTTCCACAGCACAAGCATTGTGCTGTGTGGTACAATGAGATACAGATGGATTTTACAAGTGTACATGTCTTACAAAATATTTTATTTAACTTCAATGTTGTTTTCGTTACTTGCTGTTGAGTTACGGCCAGCTAATTGAAGAATGCCTGAAATATCTGTCATTGTTTTACACTGACTGAAAATATCAGGTTTATCTAAAAAATAGGGACAATATAATGATGCAACAGTAACAACTACATTTTATTTATCATTCCCACAAGAAATCAGAATTCATAACACATACCAAAAAACAACCAGCCAAACAAACTCGTTGCTGTCCAGTCAATTCTGACTTACAGTGGCCCTATACGACAGAGCAGAACCGCCCTATAAGGTTTCCAAGGCTGTAAATCTTTACAGAAACAGACTGCAACATCTTTCTCCCAT